AGAAGGCGGGGCATAGAGGAGAAACAATAATGTACAGTATGTGGAAAATAATGTGTTTTTTGAACCTTAAACCGCATAAACACATTTCATTACACCAAATAACTTTCTTTTTAGCAACGTCATATGACCCCTTTAACATCCATGGAACCACTAAGGGTTCTTTTGTCATGGACTCTTTGATAGTTTGTATTCTTTAGTTCCTTTTCTCCTTTGTTCTGTTTTCCCACTCTCTAATTAGTTGTCATGGTTATACATTTGACCTCTCAGGTGTTTGTCATTATTTCCCTCATTTGCTTAGTACTTAAGTTCCTGTGTTTTCAGGTCAGTTTGTCCGTTCTCGTTAATGCATCAGTTGTATATTCGCTTCCTACGTTGTTGGATTTATTGTTGAGTGTGTCATTAAAGACTTTTTTCTATATCTTCTTCATCTGCTTGGACAACTATGCGTGACAGAAGAACGGACCACAAAGGGAAAATGGAAATCGCTTCCATTAATGTTGCCCCATTTAGGGGCAATAAACTTTTGAGAGAAGCAACAGTGTTTCTTTTCCAGTATGGCAGAGACCTGGAGGAGTATGTGGAGGAGTTCAAGCTTTTGAATGGTATAGTGTATAATGTCACAAAAGCTTTTTATTTCAGATAACTCTTAGTTTGGATCTTTCTATTCATCAAAGAATCCTGAAAAAATGGATCTGAATCTCTGCTGGAGCCGCTGGCAGCGTTTCTCCAGCGTTTAGCTCGTTGAGGTTTTCCCACTCGTAATTTCATCCAGTGGAGAATGCTGGAAATGTGTGGGAAGGATTCGGTGCCAGATGTCAGCGTGCTCTCCATCTCGTGATGCTAAATCAAACATGGTATGTAGAAGCCGAGACCGCTCAGCCAAATCATTCACTCCATCAACACTTTCTGCCCTCCACACAACACAACAGGAGTTTTTTCTTGTCTTTTCATAATCATATGCTCATGTTCCACAGAAGAAAGAAAATCATACGAGTGGCAAGTAAATGATGACAAAATGTTGATTTGAGAGTGAACTGTCCCATTAATAACCTTTTCACTCACTGTGTACATTACACACAGGACAAAATTACTGTACTGGATTTACTTTCAATACAAAAATAACCTCCGTAATTATAATACACACATTTCCAAATTGTAATGAAATATTTGACTAATTTCAATGTAAAAAAAAAACTAAATTGTACTACAGTTTACTACTAAAAGTAATAAATAATAATAAAAAAAAACTTGACCCTCTAACACTTGCTCTCTCTATTCTTTTCTATTTTAGCTGCTTGTTTTCTTTTTATTTATTATATTTATAACTTGACCTTCTAACACTCTCTACTATGTGCTTGTTTTTCTATTCTATCTACTTGTTTTATTTTAACCCGACCCTCTAACACTAGCATTCTCTATTTTTTTTTTTCTATTGTATCTACTTTTTATTTATAATAAAAAAAGGTTTGATCGCTTATTGCCCTCATTTGTTTGTCGCTTTGGATAAAAGCGTCTTCTAAATGATTAATAAGTATGATAATAGGAAACGGCAAGAAAGTGGATTGTGGAATGATTCATATTTTTTGAGAAACATCTTTGCCTTTCAAGCAATGATGAGCAGAAGAGGTCTCTTGTGTTTTACGAGACATTCGCTCAGAGCTGGAACAGGACACAGATCACTGAAATCACAACTGAAACGACTGAGGTCAGAGATACGGACCGATCCTGGTTTTCCTCTGGTGTTTCCTGATGAGAAAAAGATCCGCTGGCATGTAAACGGACATTTCTTATCATGTTCACAAACCGTTTGATTGACCTCTATTATAAATGAGTATTGCTGCTTGTGGTACGCAGCTGCGTTCAATTAAATTAAATGAAGTGGGGTTTTTTTCTTCCTGTAAACCAGACGAGTAACTGCTCTCATTCATTTTCTGAGACTCTGTTGAGTTCATATATATGTCATATGTCACAGACAAATACGATCGCAATAAAGTGGCCTTTAGAAACACTGCTTTGCTAAGTGCCCTAATATATGCAGAACTTAAGTTTATCTAAATATATAATTAAAATATATAATTACTAGTGCTGTCAAACGATTAATCGCATCCAAAATAAAAGTTTGTGTACATAATATATGTATGTGTATTCTGTATATTATGCATATATAAATACACACACATACAGTATATATTTTGAAAATATTTACATGTATTTATATTTATAGATTTTATATTTATATCATTTATATTATATATAAATATATTTAATATATAAACATAACATATTTTTCTTAAATATGTGTGTGTGCAGCGCCTGAAAATAGTCCCCAGCACGCTCCCTGTGCAAGCAGGTGGTCACGTTGGTTATGTTGACAGAAGTTAGACTATTTTCAGGCGATGTGTAATATCATTGCGCCTGCTGGACCCATGGTACGGCAGCAAAGTTTCTTGATTAATACGCCGGAATGAGAGTATAGTTCCTAGCCATATCGGCCTAGATTGTAATGTCTGTTTTTTTTTTTTTTTTTTTTTAAATGCCCGTTTAAGTTATTCCGTTTTAGTATCAGTCAACTACCTGAAATACGTTTATTTTAAATTTGAAATATTTTATTTGCACTTTAGTGTTTATTTTATTTCAAGTAATGTTTAGTTTTAGTTAACTATAATGCTGTGAGTTGCTCAAACTCCCCCATGCTTTGGTTCATGTTCTGATCTGGGTTGATGTGCCGGCTTGTCCTGACATATGTATGATTAAATAATGCATGTTTCAGATGGTTGACCATCTAAACCCTGAGGACGTCCATCTTCAGATGCCAAATGTGCCTGTGGACGCAAACAGACGGCCTTCGTCTCCAGAACCTCATCAATCACATCAGGACCAATAACGGTAAATACAGACCCTTGTTATGCTCTCAACATACATGCTTTAAAGGAACACTGCAACTCCCCTAGAGTTAAACAGTTGAGTTTTACCGTTTTCGAATCCATTCAGGTGATCTCCGGGTCTGGCGGTAGCACTTTTAGCTGTAGCTTAGCATAGATCATTGAATCTGATTAGAACGTTAGCATCTCGCTCAAAAATGACCAAAGAGTTTCTATATTTTTCCTATTTAAAACTTGACTCTTCTGTAGTTACATCGTGTACTAAGACCGACGGAAAATGAAAAGTTGCGATTTTCTAGCACAGGGAGCGTGCTGGGGACTATTTTCAGTCTAATCAGATTCAATGATCTATGCTAAGCTACAGCTAAAAGTGCTACCGCCAGACCCGGAGGTCGTCTGAATGGATTCAAAAACGGTAAAACTCAACTGTTTAACTCTAGGGGAGTTGGAAAATGAGCCTATTTTCAAAAATAGTGTAGTGTTCCTTTAAGTCCCTATGGAATATGATAGCGGAATGATATCAGAGGCCTCTGGTCTTTCTCTGTAAGTGTATGTAGAAGACACATTCAGTCTGATTTAAAAGCTGTTCATATATGACATACTGCATATGTGTGTGTGTCAATCATCAGATCTGATAGATCTGTATTATAATGACTGGCTACAGTCTGCACTGATTTATACAGGAGTATTTTGTAGCATTTTAATGGTTAATTTCGTAAATCTATTAAGGTATTTCCAGTCAGACGTGATCGTGAGTCAGTGTGACTCCATCAGTCCAGATCTGCATGTTTGACTTCATGTTCAGAGAATCAGAGTTGTCATGAATGGGCCACTCTGTGTGAGTCAGGCTTTCCTGACCCTCGCGAAAACCAGCGGATCCACCCAACATATGTGTGTGACAGCACTGGATAAACACAGAGCACTTCAGGGCCTGATGGCTGTTACTGAGACGCTGCTGAATGAACTTCCCTTAAAGGGGTCATATGATGCGAAGCCAAGAACTTTATTCCTTTATGAGTTTAACATTTTCTCCATAATTGTGCAGAATTGGTTGCTTTAGAAAGCAAACTCCTACAGTGTGTTTAAGCCAGGAGTTTTTTCCCCCTATTTTAAGCTGTCAGCAGTTTCAGCCCATCAGGGCTAATAAGGGAAGTGTCTGTTTCCTATTATTCACTCATCCATTATATGACTTTCACACTTATTAACAGCCATCACTGACAGAGCACTGCTTTAACTCTAGACTGATGTTTACACTTCAGACCAACCTGGACAATTTAACTTACGTGCATCTTATGAGAAAATATGCTTGTTTAATTAAATAGGTGAAAGAGGATCTTGAAGAGGATCAT